CGAGGCTGGACGACTTTCTTAAAAAAAAAAGTCAAACGAGGCAAGTACATCGCGTGCAACAGCAAGGTCAAGGCATCATGCTTCGAAACTACCTTCAGTCTAGACATAATAAATTTAAATTTTTACAATTTTTCACCCCAGAAAATATTACGTTTATTGCAAGGAAATAGGAAAGAGCCTAGAAAGTCGATGTCAATTTTAGGAAACTGTTTAATTTTGAAAGAATTTTCTATTAAGTTTGGATGATTTGTAAAGAATTCGCATTTTTTAAAGTTTAATTTCAAACCCAAATCAGTCTTACGACCCACAATTGAATTCAAATCTCTCAGCACATTTTCAATCTTTCCACCAAGTGAAATGTCATCCAAGTAGGCGACAATGAATTTGGATTCCAAAGACTTCAACAGAGGGTTGATTGCAAGAGAGAGGAGCAATGGACCCAGTGGGTCACCTTGCTGAACTCCTTTCTCTGACTAAATCTTTGTGCCACTAAAAGACAGAATGGATGGCTTATCATAAGCCGACAAACAAAAGTTGTACAACTCTGGCACAACCGACTTCACAGTGAGCAGCAAGTGATCCCGCCTTAGGGAGTTAAACGGATTGGAAAAATCCAGTTTCAAAAAACATTCATCATCATCCATGTTATCAACAAAACGTCTAGCGGCGTGAATTGCTCCCTCTGCGCCACCGCTAACACCAACGCCCACCTGCAGAGGTTAAAGCAAGGGGACAACTTTAATGATGTGCATGGCACATTTCGCAGCCAAACGCCTCCAAACACAACCAACTACAATTGGCCTGATAGCCCCATCTTTTTTAACAGAGCAACCAGTCTTCCACCAAACAAAATAGAAGCCACCTCTGGCGGACAGTTCCCGCTTAGAATCAGGTTGACAAATGAGGCAATCAAATTTACTAGATCATAAGAGTCTGCTTATGAAGTCTGCTTGCAAAACCTTGGCCAACACCTGACTAAATTTGGGTCTGCACTGCTTGGAAAGATGATCATGCAAACAAAAATTGGCAGATCTAGAAAAAAATTCATCAGCCGTGTCGCATTTTGGGGCAAGCACAACATGATTTTTCTTGATAGAAAGATTACCAGCATTTCCCAAAGACATACGTTTTAGCACCACCGGAGGCCTGGCGAGAGAGCCGGGACATTCAGAACCCTTAACTTTTCCCCCATGACGCATAAGTGCCCCATCTGGGCGGGTACGAAAATGCATATTGCAAACATGGCAACGGGTAAGACCTGAGCCAGTTGCTTGACTAGGAGACATAATGCAGGATGGAGCGCCTGAACGGAATGGTTCAACCAAGGTTAACAAGTCAAGCCAATTCAAATATTGGCGTAGTTAAAACCAAGTTAAAATCAAACAACCTAGAGGGAACGAAAACAAAAAATGGTTTGTTTTCGTTCAAAACAAGCAAAATGGAATTGTGGTGTAGAAAAACATGTACCACTTGATAAAAGGGACAAGCCAGGTGTGAGTGTGGTATAGAGGACAGATACCACTTGACCAAACAAAATGGGAATGTGATTTAAAAACGGATAACAAATACCGCTTGATAACAAAATGGGAATGTGGTATAATGGACGGATACCACTTGGTGATGGCAAGAAACAAAGTGGGAATGTGGTACAATAACGGATACCACTTGATGGAAAGAGCGAACCAGATGGGATTGTGGTATAAAAGACAAATACCACTTGATAACAAAAAGGGAATGTGGTACAAAGGACCAATACCACCTGATGAAGGCAACAAACCAAATGGAAATGTAGTATAAAAAGCGTGGTACAAAAATTTTATTTATTTATTTTTTATTTATTTGTATGTATGTATGTATGTATGTATGTATGTATGTATGTATGTATGTATGTATGTATGTATGTATGTATGTATGTATGTATGTATGTATGTATGTATGTATGTATGTATGTATGTATGTATGTATGTATGTATGTATGTATGTATGTATGTATGTATGTATGTATGTATGTATGCACTAGATTCTAGCGTATTCTAGAATGTTCTAGTGACTGGAGCTTTCTAGAGTATGCTAGAATCGGACCATCTAGAAGAATCTAGAAACAACGCTTGCGAAGAGTATATAAGCGCACGTCGCAAGAAGATTAGCGATTAGTGAAATTCGTGATTTTGTAAATTCGTGACTCTGTGATTTCGTGAATAGCGATTCGGTGAATTATTTAAAGCGATATTTGATTTGTTTGTTGACGTTGTCATAGCGATAGATTTTGAACAATTTAAAAGTTAATTGTTGCGTTAATTGGAATTTGCTAGAAATAAACGATTAGTTGATTTCTTCTGTAAATAAAGTTTAATAACTAATAACTGTTTGGAGTATTTTATTCAAACGAAGATTTGAACCCGTCGCATTGTAAATCGGTTACGATAGCTAGTATTATAACATTGGTGTCAGAAGTTGGATCTGCTTAGTTTGTCAACTGAAATGAAACAGATCAAAGAACACTCCGAACGACAGTCCGAAAGACAGACAGAAGAGTTAAAACAACAGATCAAGGAACAGTCAGAACAGATCAAAGAACAGTCCGAACGACAGACAGAGGAGTTAAAACAGATCAAAGAACAGTCCGAACGACAGTCCGAACGACAGACAGAAGAGTTAAAACAGATCAAGGACCAGCTAAAACACGTAAAATTGGAAATGGCAGAACAGATTGAAGAACAGTCAACAAGAATAGAAATGATCGAGCAGAAACTTGATCGTCAGACCGTTGAGGTAGATCACAAGATAGACAAATTGAAGCGAGAATTGGAGCAATCCAAAAAAATGGCCATGCCGTTAGATCACGCATCCGGAAGAACTTTGAAGGTACCAGCATTTGACGGAGAGATGTCCTGGAACTTTTATAAAACCCAGTTTGAAGCAGCGGCAACTAGTAACTGTTGGAACGGAAAAGAACGAGCAACAGCACTGATACTGGCCCTGCGAGGTTCAGCAGCAGAGGTTCTTCAGACGATTCCGGCGGAGAACCACTTCAACTATGAAGTTCTGGTTAGCGCGTTGGATTTACGTTATGGTGAAGAACACATGAAACAGATTTATCGGTCTCAGCTTAGAAACAGGACGCAACGATCTGGCGAATCCATTCAGCAGCTAACACAAGATATCGAACGGTTGACATTACTGTCGTATCCGACATCAGACCCCGAGCATAGAGACGAAACTGCCCTGGATACGTTTATCCAAGCCCTCCGTGATTCGGAACTCAAGCAATCCCTTCTCTTGTCAGATAAACGAAAACTCAAGGATGCCGTTGCGCACAGTCTCACTTTTGAATCGACAAAGCAAGCATCAAAAAGTGACGTACGTCTACGCCAAGTACATGAAAAATGCTCTTGATAAAAGGTGGTTGTGAAACGCGAACCCCAACAGCATGGTGTAACCCAATGCTGGATTTGTGGTGAAAAAGGCCATCTACGTCGTGATTGTAAACACCGCCTAAAAGATAACTACTGCCGAAATTGCGCGACAAGATGGCGCAAAAGAAGAGAAGATGATCCTGTATCACGATCGGCCTCTTCTAACGAGGGGGCGGAAAACTAATAAGAGCCAACTTTGTGGGGCAGAGGTTGGTTAGTAGAATTGACGCCCCCAGTACCGTAATTAACGTTTCCAGACTACATCGAAATCGAAACGACCTATGGCTGAACGGAAAAGTTGATCAACGAGAATGCTTAATTACAGTCGACACCGGAGCAACAAAATCGATTTTAAGATCTGATTTGGTACACAATCTGAAGAAAGAGACTTCTAACAAATACATCCTTCAAACAGCTACCGGAGGAACAGCACCAGTCTATGGAAAGATTCTCCGTACTGTTCAGCTAAGCGACTTGTTATTCGAAGGTTCATTCTTAGTCGCGGATATCATCGACGAATGCATAATAGGTGTCGACTTTTTGACAAAATATGACTTAGAAAAACGCTTTCTTAGATGGAGAAATACAAAAGTGATAATGGGGGATAGCGACGAAAAATGCATTCGAGTGACAGTCGATTGTGACTTAGAACTACCTCAATCATCTGAAAACATCGTATGGGGCAAGTTGAATTGCGATCCTTGGGGCCACCAGTTCTATTTGATGGAGCCAACCTCAACAACAAGTGTACAGAACGCGGTCATTGGAAAATGCCTGGTAGAAGCGAACAAAAATGATCTTATTCCTGTCAGAATAATGAATACCGCTAAACACACTATTAAAATTAAAAAAGGCGAGGAAATAGGTAATTGCCAATCAATAAATTTGGTGAAATCATTAGATATGGAGCAACAGGAACAGGTTCTACCAACTGACAAAAGTAGACTCAAAGAACTTACCAAAAATCTACTGGATGAACTCAATTTGTATCAAGAAGACCGTCTAAAAGCCGAAGCGTTGATTGCTGATTTTGCAGACGTGTTTTCAACCGGTGACAATGACCAAGGTAAAACAGCTCTGGTAACTCACCGAATTGATTCTCAGGATTCGAAACCGATCCGACAAGTACCACGACGTCTTCCTCTAGCAAAACAAACAGAAGTAAACGAAATGATAACGACAATGCAGAATCAAGGCGTCATCGAATCGTCATCAAGTTCCTGGATTTCGCCAGTTGTTTTGGTGAAGAAGAAGGACGGCACTACCCGTTTTTGCGTTGATTATAGGAAGTTAAATGATGTGACTAAAAAGAACAGCTATCCGTTACCGAGGATTGATGACATCATGGACACCCTATCTGGCTCAAGTTGGTTCTCTACGCTTGATTTGAAAAGCGGATACTGGCAAGTAGAAATCGACAAGAACGATCGCGAAAAGACAGCGTTTTCTATCGGATCGGGGTTGTGGCAATTCACCGTCATGCCATTTGGATTGTGCAATGCTCCAGCTACATTCGAGCGACTGATGAAATGTGTATTGCAAGGTCTTAACTGGAAAACCTGTCTTGTCTATTTAGACGACATAATTGTCCTAAGAAGAACATTTGATCAACACGTCGAAAACTTACGGGAGATCTTCACAAGACTTCGGGTGGCAAATTTAAAGCTGAACGTTAAAAAGTGCAGGTTATTTTCTAAAGAAGTTAACTATTTGGAACATGTGGTATCTTCAGATGGAGTTCGAACCGATCCCAGCAAGATAAAAATTGTGAAAGACTGGCCAACTCCAAAGGATAAAAATGAATTGCGCAGTTTTCTGGGATTGGCAACGTACTATCGACGTATTGTAAAGGATTTTGCAAAAGTTGCCAGATCTCTCCACCAACTTACCGAGAAGGACCGAGTTTTCAACTGGAATACCCTATGCGACTCAGCATTTGAAAAGTTAAAAGTTGAACTATGTGATGCTCCTTTGCTGGCAAAGCATTTCAGAATATAGTGCCGTGTTAAAGCGTTATTGAGCTCAGTGGGACTCATTGTATTTGGAAGGGGATATATACATACATACAAACATTCAATTCAATTCAGTAATGAGTTTATTCAGCAAAAAGCTAGGAGACCCGAAGATATGACTTGTTGGGCCACCATAAAATTTACACCATAAATTATAAATTGAAAAGAAATGTTCATATTTCACAATGAAATAATGATAGTTCTGTAAATAAGAAAAAATAAGATTATTTAAATTATTTAAGTATTAATAAATCTTCTTAAAATTGAATAAATATAAAGTACATAACGGAAAACAATCGCATTAACAGAGGACATGGTTGAAATAATTAGACTGAATGAGCAAATAGATAGATTTTCTAAATAGAGCAAGGGAAGAAGAATTTTTAGTAGTCATCGGTAATAATTCCAAAGACGCATAGAGATATATAAGACAGAGTTGAGAAGAAAATTTGTTCTAGGTTTCAAAAAGTAAAATTCAGAATTAGAACGTGAACAATTTTGCCTAGCATTTTTAAATAAATTAATCTGATCTTTAAGAGATTGACAATAATTTAATTTATATATTTTAAGAAAAGATAGTAATAGATAAATAATATGTAGTTGGTTTATGGTTAATTGTGCCACCTGTGATATGGGCGGGCTTCTTCACAATTTTGTTTAATGGAACGAATCAAACACTTCAAGCAAAATAATTGTATGTACATCATTTGGTTTTTCGATATCGATGTTGGAATCACTAGCCGGAATCGAATTGTCCCTAAGGCAAATATATTTTCTAACACAAATGTCAATTCGCTAAAGAACAACGATGTGACCAACTTTGAACCCGGTCAATAGATACCAAACGCAAAAACTTTGCAACAATCAAAAGAAAATTTTAGAACTATGGTCTCAAAGGTTTAAAAGACTGGAATATCAATTTATCTCGTCAGGGTCGCCAAAATGTCACGAATTCTTTTTTATTTTAAGACTCTAATTAATTAAAATTACAACAAACAGTATTTACATTAAGTTTTATTTTAACAAACAGAATATTAACTAAATAGTTAATTAACGAATGAATATTAACTAAAGCAGTACGGCAAAATTAAATACAGATACCAAAACTGTCACAACGCTTTTCCAATGTCACCTTCTAACTACTACTAAACTAAACTGGTTTATCTAATCGCCTCAGTGGCTCTAAATTATTAAGCGCTAAGCGCATAAGTTTGGGGATCGTCACATCCCCCCAACCCACGCGAGGCTGGTGGTTCCGTGTGGAAGGTCTGCATCCTTGGATCAACCCTCTCCACATCTGGACAACGTGTCAGCGACAACATTATCTTTCCCTGACACATGTTGCACCCTATAATTGAAGTCCTGCAACAACAGTGCCCATCTGGTGATCCTTTGATTGGACATCTTGTTGCTGTGGATCATCTTAAGCGGTGCATGATCTGACAGTACCACGAATTCGTGTCCCAATAAGTAGATTGAGAATTTTGTTATGGTGTAGACAATAGCTAATGCTTCCTTTTCTATCGTTGAAAAGTTCTGTTCAGTAGCAATGGCTACAAGTAATAAGAAAAAATTTTTATTGTTTTTCTCGCAAACCTCGTTAACTTATGTTTGCAAGAGGGAATATTTCCGAATAAATGTAAGCACGCAGTTATTACACCTGTCTTGAAGAAAACAAAAGATGATAGGAATGAAATGAAAAGTTACAGACCCATATCAAACATTTGCTTCGTTTCTAAAGTTATTGAACGAGTTGTTGCCAGTCAGCTACTGAGTCATCTACACAAAAATAGCTTAATACCAGTATTTCAATCTGGATATAAACGTTATCACTCAACTGAAACAGCACTGCTGTATGTTATGTCTGAGTTGTTTAATGCAATCGATAAACATTATGTTTCGTTGCTTACATTCTTGGACATGAGTGCTGCCTTCGATTGCGTAGACCATCAAATACTGATGAATCGCCTACAATATGATTACGGAGTTACTGGAGTTGTAGCTAATTGGTTCAATTCATACTTGTTTGGCAGAACTCAGCAGGTTTTTTTTGGGAACAAATTATCTGGTATTGAAGCAATGTCATCTGGTGTACCACAAAGCTCAGTCCTGGGACCTATTCTGTTTGTACTGTACACTGCTGAAGTATATGAAGTAATTCTTTGGATTCTTTGGATTTTCATATCTAACGCTGATGACATCCAAATAATAGTTAGCAGTGAACCAGAACTGTTTGAAAGTAAAGTTGAAAATCTCATTGAATGCTTGACTAAAATAGGTACATGGATGTCAAGAAATTGTCTCAAATTGAATCAAGATAAAACTCAATTTTTACCTGTCGGTACATGGCAACAGCTTTCTAAAATTAATATTAATTCAGTCAAAATTGATAATAATGAAATACAATTCTGTGAAAATGCAACAAACCTAGGGTGTATTTTTGACTCGAGATTATCTTTCAAAGATCATATAAAAACCATATCTAAATCATGTTCTTATCAGCTTTGCCAGTTATACCGCGTTCGAAAATATTTACATCTAACAACCATGCAAACACTAATTCATGCGTTTGTTTATTCACGGTTAGACTACTGTAATAGCTTGTTCAATGGATTACCAGAGAGATCTATTGCTTTTCTTCAATCGATACAGAATAGAGCTGCAAAAATAACTCTTGGACGTGGAAAGTATGACCATGTGACACTCATTTTGAGAGACCTACATTGGCTAATAGTGAAAAAAAGAATCAACTATAAGATTTGTGTGACTATGTATAAGGCTATGAACGGGTTGTTAGCAGTATATCTAGTAAATAAAATCTTAAAAAAACCAGCTTCTTCAACAGGTGTAAAATTGAGATCAGACTATGCCAACCTTCTGGCAGTGACAACTACTCAACTACAAACTGCAACTAGAAATATTGCCGTGTCAGGACCAATTGCCTGGAACAATCTTCCGCAATCGCTCAGAATGCCTGGACTAAAGCTTGATGATTTTAAGAGGAACTTAAAAACATATTTATTTTGACATAGAAATACTTTATTGATTTGTACTTTATTGACCTTCACTGATTTCATTTATAATAGAGAGCGCTTTCGAGAAATTTCAATTTTATAATGCGCCTAATAAATTGTTGATAATAATAATAATGGCTGCAGGAACTCAGTAAAATTTGGAAAGAATCTGCGGTAATAGCTACACAAACCTACTACACTTCTCGCTTCCTTCTTGGTTGTAGGTACGGTGGTATTTAATATTTTACTAATATTACGCTGTATCGGTTGAACAGTACTATTTGAAATCACATGTCCCAGGAATTCTACTTCATAACTGGCAATATTTGTTTTGCTGGGTTTCACTGTCAGTTTATTCGCAGCAATTATTTTAAAAATTTTATCTAATGCTATTAAATGTTCTTGCCAGGTTTTGTGAAAAATACAGATGTCATCTAGATAGAATACTATATCTTTTCTGTGTGCAAACAATGATGACATCATTCGGTTAAATGTGGCTGGTGCATTGGCTAAACCAAAAGGCATATAATTCCACACGAAATTACCGAATGGGGTTGTAAACGATGTGTAACACTTTGAATCTTCATCCATGGGTATTTGCCAGTATTCTCGTGAGAAATCTAGTGTTGAAAATATCTTTGCACCTCTTAATTTTCCAATCAAACACTCGATATTGGGCATCGGATACGGATCTTTAACAGTGATGTTAAAGATCCGTATCCGTATTATCAACCAGACGATCAATGATTGATCGTCTGGTTGATAATTCATAATTTTACCATTTTCATTACCATCTTTATTTATCTCATCATCATTGTTATTTTTATTCATCTCGATTTCATCCTTGCTTCCATTATTTTTGTTGTTGTGATTATTATTTTTAATGATTTTGACTTCTTGGTTTTCCTCATCTTCTTCCTCTTTTCTATTATTCATCACTGGACTTGATTTATTTTGTTTTATATCTTTAATGGTTATTGGGGACTTCCTATCACCCAGGACATCATCATCAGGAACATTATAATTTCCCTCAACGTTGTTCTCTGTTTCATTTTCGTTACTATCATTCATCTTTACTTCATCATGTACATGGTCAACATTTATCTCTCCGCGGACCAATTTGAAAAGCAGTGCCTTATGGGACTCATTAGTAGGCAACTCACAAAATTTTTTCTTTTTTATTCGGCAGAGTAACAGTACGTCTCTATCGACTAAAAGTGTTTCTGTGAATTACTTTAAAAAACACCTTACTTTGCCATGTTGTCTACTAAGATAATTGAACTAGGTTGGTATTTAAACTCGGGCTACTGATGAGTCCCACAAGGGACGAAACTCGTCTAGTCTAAAAAGAGTTGGTATAAACTCACGTACTTGTGTACATACAAGTCAACTCACAAAATATACGTCCAACATATAACTGATAACATAACATCTTCATAAATATTAAATAGATAGCTTGTTTTAGTTCCTCATGGTCGTTCATTTTGTGCTCTGGCCGATGTTATTTCAATTAATCAATTACAAATTTATTAAACTCTTCTCATATAATTAATTTGATTATAACTACATTGTAAATAAATTGCACCTTAGTATTACTATCTTCTAATTTTAAACATGAGATGAATATGACGGCCAATTTAGGTTGCCTTTTCGCGGGTGCGGATAATGAGCAGTTCGAATGCGGGCGGTTGTGGACGTGAACTCTGCGGATGCGAGTGGTTGCGGACGTTAACTCTGCGGATGCGGGAGGTTGCGGTTTCAAAAAATCTCCGCTTGGGGCTTCATAACGTACTCTCGATCGTATTGTTATAACCGTCGCAAATATATTCAAATATATTCGCTAGATGGCTAGTATCGCTACGAACGCATACAGTTCGAGTAAGAACTAGAATCTTTCGACAGCGAGATATCTAGGACGTTCGAGAAGCTTTGTTAAAACGGGTATTAAAGGCATGCTAGATATTGAATGGGTCGTTGAATATTCAATATTTGGAAAGCGATTGATTATTAGTATTGAAAGCGATATTTGACTGCGTTGTGTTTGTATTTTTTGTATTTGTTTGTATTTTCGATGAACGTTAGTGAATTGTTATTTGGAAAGCGATAGTTTCTGAACGTTAATTTGATAGTTTGAGAACGTTAACAATTATTAGTAAAATTTAATAACGTTGATTATTAATTAATTAAATAATAATTGTTTTAAAAATAATTCGGTAATTTGCTAGTTATATTGCTTTATTTTTCACTGGATTAAACGAGATCGTCGTCGACCGGCCAGTTATAACATTGGTTTCCACCTCTAAATTTCCTACATTTTATAAGAATTCTATTGTTATTCCTATTCTTAAAAACTGATCTTTAAATCCTTCCTCTTTATCAAACTATAGACCTGTTATTAATATTACTTTCATCTCTAAAATAATAGAAAAAGTAATTTTTAATCAATTAACATATTATTTAAGTTCTAACTCCTCGCTACCTGTATCTCAATTTGGTTTCAGACCTGCTCACAGTACTGAATCTTCTTTACTCAAAATACGTAATGATATCCTTCTCTCTAGTGACAATAGTAATCTTACTCTTCTTTCTCTTGATTTATCCTCTCCTTTTGATATTGTTGAATGTTGATCGTACTATTCTCTTGAGGCTGCTAGATCATTCTTTCAATATTACTGATATCTTGTCTTATATACAATATATTGTCTATCTTGATTTTTTTATCTCTGTAATCATTTTTTTTGTTGTTCTCAATAAATAAACTTCTAGCTCCTCTACTCTTACTTTTGGGGTACCTCAAGGTTTTATCCTTGACCCTCTTCTATTTATACTCTATACTTCGGAACTACCTCGTATTATTAATAATTTTTCTTTAGCTAGTCAACTATATGCTGATGATTTTTATATTTATTCTTCTTTTCCTCCATCTAATCTCAATAGTGTTCTTCATAATCTATCTCTATGTCTTTCTTCAATTATCGCTTGGTCTTAAACTTAATACTTTTAAATTTTAATTAATTTGTTTTAATAAGTCTAAACACTTTATTACTATTTATCCTATTAAATCTAAATACTCAATTATCCTATTCTTCCTATTATCTTACCTGATTCTAAAACTTGATGTTTCTCACAAGTTTTGTAATGTAGGCTTTATCTTTGATTCTAGCTTGTCTTTTTCTTCTTAGATTGATAGTGTTGCTAGAAGTACTTACTTTCAAAATAACAAAACTTTTGCCTTTTCTTAACAATCGTACTCTTCTTCTTGTTACTTCTTTAGTCTTATCTTATCTATGATTGATTATTGTAACTCACTCTACTATGGTCTTTCTGGTTCTACACTATCCTGAAATTAAAGCTATTAACTCTGCTGCTCGTCTAGTTGCTCGTGCCCCTTTCTTTTCTCATATATCTCCATATCTTGTTCTCTTGCACTGGTTACCTATAAAATATAGAATAATTTTTAAAATTTGCACATTTATTTAAAAATTATAAACTAAATTATTTCCTAAGTAGTCTACTTATCAGATATATTAATTGAACTTAAACGCCCCGATTTACGTTCGTCTTTTTGTTCTCACTTCTTAACTCGTGTTAAACACTCTTTTGCTAAATCTGCATTTGCTTTTTCTGGCCCTTTTCTCTGGAAATCTCTACCTTCTTTTTTGACAACTTCTCCATCACTTACGAAGTTCAGAGCGGATATCAAGAATTATCTGCTTTCAAAATTTATTATGAAGCGTTGTTGAACATCGCGGAAATAGCGCTTTATAAACTAATCTAATTGATTTATTGATTGATCGATTGATGGATCGATCGATTGATTGATTGAATAAATGAATGATTGATTGATTGATTTGATTGATTGATTGATTGATTGAAATCTTTGGTGAAAAATAAGTGAGTATCGTTGTTGAAAATTTTGATTTTTCTTCGTCGACAATTTTGAAACAAAAACAACATGACGCAAATTACATCAACTTAAATTGGTGCTAGAAGAGTTAAAAAAAAACAAAATCTTGCTACAAATGGAAACAGTAGAGCTTTGATAACACGCCTAACGGAAGCCCTTGATAATGAAGACGAGAATCCAGATGAATTCGAGTTTGACGATTAGGATGTCGAATCGAATGTAGTTGTAAACGTTGGGGACAAACACCGAATTGATGACTCTACTTCGAACGATATCAACATAAATTGAACAACAGTCAACAAAAATAAAACAGACGAGAGATCAAATTGATGCAAAACTTAAACAACAATCAGTAGAAATAAAACAGACAAGTGATTTAATTGATGCAAAAATTGAACGGATGAGTGGTCAAATTAATGCCAAAATCGAACAGCAGTCTGGGCTCGAACAGAAGTTATCTTGCAAAGTGGATAAATTTAAACAAGAACTGGAAGAAACTAAGTGGTGGCGATACGAGAGTTAGTAGCATAAGTTCTCTAAACGATTCCCGTCGATAACCATTTCAAATATAAAGTCCTGGTTAATGCGTTAAATTTACGTTACGGTGAAGAGCACATGAAGCAAATATATCGGTCCGAGTTACAAAACCGGATGCAGCAACATGGAGAGTCAATACAGCTGCTGGCACAGGATATTGAACAATTGACTCTGCTATCATATCCTACGTACGACCCACAACACAGAAAAGAAACTGCATTGGAAACTTTTGTAAAGGCTGTTCGAGATTTAGATCTTAGACAGACCCTTATACTAGTCGATAAACGCAACTTCAAAGACGCCGTTGCCTACAGTTTACAGTCAGCAAAGCAAGCTTTAAAGACTGACGTAAAACTGCGCCAAATTTGTGAAGAATGTTCGTGTCAAAAGTTGATTCTAGAACAGAAGGGTCAGGATTATGGTGCGCCAAAATGCTGGAATTGTGAAGAAAAAGGACATCTACGACCAGATTGTAAACAACGCCCTAGAAACAATTACTGTCGTCATTGTGCAGCAACTTAGCACAAACGGTTAGATAGTGACCCCGCGTTACGACCGACTGCAAACTTGCAAAAGCCAATTTTGCAGGGTAGAGGTTGGCTGGTAGAATTGACGCTCCCAGTATCGTAATTAAGGTTTCTAGGCTGCATCGAAGTCAATACGACCTTTGGTTGGATGGCAAAATTGGTTTACATGTTCAATTACGATCGACACGGGGGCAACGAGGTCCAACTTTGCCATCCGACCAAAGGTCGTATTGTCTTAAATGCAGCCTAGAGACATTAATCTTGGTACAGGGAGCGTCAATTCTACCAGCCAACTTCTGCCCCTCGAAATTGGCTCCCATTAGTTTCCCGCCTCCTTGTTTGAGGCAATCGGTTGTGACGCGGGGTCACCATCTAACCGTCTGTGCCATGTTGCTGCACAATGATGTCAATAATTGTTTCTAGGCCCTTTTTCTCCACAATTTCACAAGAATGTTCAATTACGATCGACACGGGAGCAACGAGGTTAATTTTAATGCAAAATCGCCTAGTTGAATAGTGTAAGAAATTTTACCGTAGACAGGCGCTGTTCCTCCTGTAGCTCAATTTGCTTCTGGAAAATCGTTCAAAAGCCGAAAATTTGATAGCGAATTTTGCAGGTATATTTTCAACCGTAGACGATAATCAAGGAGAAACGGGCCTTGTTGCTCATCGAATTGATACTCAGGACTCGAAGCCAACCAAACAGGTACCACACCTTTTTCTACTAGCAAAACAAGAAGAGGTAAACAAGATGATAACTACAATGCTAAACCAAGGTGTCATCGAACCGTCAACTAGTCTTTGGACTTCGCCAGTTGTCCTGGCAAAAAAAGAGTGCAACACCCGCTTTTGTGTTGACTACAGAAGCTAAACGAAGTAACAAAAAAAGATAGTTATCTACTACCGAGAATAGATTACATCATGGAAACGTTGTCTGGTTTACACTGATTCTCTACTCTAGACTTGAAAAAGGGATATTGACAAGTAAAGATCAAGAAAACGACCGTGAAAAAACAGCATTTTCAATCAAATCAGGCTTGTGGCAATTCACTGTGATGCCGTTTAGACTGTGCAGTGCTCCAGCTACGTTTGAACGACTAATATGCATATTACGAAGTCTTACCTAAAAAACATAGACGATATATTTGTTTAAGAAAGTCGGAAAGTTGTTCAACCAGCATGTTAAGAATTTACGAGATATATTTTTGAGACTTCGAGCAGCGAACTTAATGCTGAACGTTAAAAAGTGCAAATTGTTTGCGAAATAAGTGAACTTGGAACATGTCATATCTTCCAATGGAGTGATGACGGACCAAAGTAAAGTAGAAATGGTAAAAAATTGGCCAATTTCGAAAGATAAAAATGATTTGCGCAGTTTTCTCGGATTAGCTACACACTACCGACGTAAAGTAAAGGATTTTGCAAAAGTTGCACGACCACTACATCGACTCACGGAAATGATAGAGCGTTTGACTGGAATAAGTTATGTGAAGTAGCTTTTGAACGACTAAAACGAGAATTATTTGAAGCCCCCTTGTTAGCATATCCAATCCGAAATAAACCATTTGTGCTAGATACGGATGCAAGCAACTGTGGAATTGGAGCGGTTTTGTCACAAATTGTTAACAGAGAAGAAAAGGCTTTGGCATATTACAGCAAAAATCTTACAAAGCCTGAACGTAACTATTGCGTCACCAGAAAAGAGTTGCTAGCGATGGTTATGGCAACAAAACATTTCCACAAGTACCTCTAAAGACAAAAATTTCTTTTTCGAACGGAACATGCGGCGTTAAAGTGGTTGCTCGATTTCAAAAATATAGGATGGGTGGCACGATGGTTGAAACGATTACAAATGTACGATTTTGAAACTATGCACCGTAAGGGAACCTTCCATAACAATGTCAATGCTCATTTTCGTTGATCTTGTTCACCAGGTTGCAAATACTGCAGTTGACTGGAAGAGAAAGTACAAACAGAAGATGTACAAAAAATTACGATAACGGCATATACAGGATAGACACCGAAAGAATGGCAAGCGCACAGTCTGCCGGCAAAGACTTAAAATACGTCAATGCATGGAAGAAATCTGGCCAGCGACCTGAATGACAAGACATATCTGAGTTCGGTTGGTCGTTAAAGAATATGTGAGAAGTTCTACTGGGTTAACGCTCGAAAAGATAAAGAAAGTTGGTGTCAAAAATGTAGTACGTGCGCAGCAGTGAAAACTCCAAAAAGGAAGTTGCGAAGAAAAATGCTAATCTATAATGTTGGTGTCGACATTATCGGACCATTTCCTAAATCAAATTTTTTTTTCGATTTGGATATTGTTTGAGTTGGTCGTAATTTCGTTCGCTCCGTATTTTTTCTAAACTTTGCTGGATATTCTCGAATTTTTTTCTTGAATTTGGGTTCATCAAATGGACAAAATTTTGCTGCATTAAATGATATAATTTTTTGTTAGTTAATTAATTGCGGTTAAATTAGTTTTATTTGTTTCACTTTATTCAAAATTCAATTATAAATAGTGTTTATTCGACGTAATAATAAAGATATAATTGTGTTAAAGGATTGTTTCCAAAAATGTATATTGTTTGTTTTGAATTTCTGTATTGCTTTGCGCTGCGTGAAATTTATTTTTTTTTTCTCGCAGACTATTAAACTGAACTAAATAATTTACCATTAAAAATATTATTTAAAATATCCTAATTTTGATACGTATCATCATGTCATCGACTAAACATCAAACATCAATCCCCGTCGAGTCATTTGAAAGTATTGTGGCCAAAATACTAGATAAGTCAAATGATCACACTATTAAGTGTTTCGACAATCTGCTTAAGAAATCAAACGAAAACCTTGAAAAAGTCATAACTCTGTCCAACAACATTCTTGAAAAGATATTTGAAAAGTTTGACTCCAGCCTGACGTTGGTTATTAAAAAGTCAAACGAAAATTTGCGCAAATCACTGGCTAACTCGGAGGGTTTAATGAGCAAACTTTTTGAATCAACATTGCTGCGAATGGAGGCTCTCAGTAATAGCTTCGAGCGAGCGGTCAAAAGTATGTCAGACGCCGTCACTGATTCGATGTGTCAACTTCACAATACTATGTCCACATTGTCCACCAGTGTTTCTGAGTGTCAGAAACAGGTATTGAAGCTTAACAAGACACCAATGATTGAGCAGATGACCAAGGCTCTGTGGATAGTTGAACGAGAGCGTAAAGAAGAGGAACGCCGAGCCAATAACGTGATCATTTCTGGTCTTGTGGAGCAATCAGGAATCAATGACAGAGATATTGTGTTAGATCTCTGTGAGAAACATCTGGCGATCAAACCACAGGTCGTTAAAACACGTCGTATTTGCAGGTCAAAACTATGTGTTACCTTGTCCGGACCATCGGCAGTAGATGATTTAATATCCTTTTCTAGGATCCTACGTTCAAAGCATGATACGAGGAATATTTTTATAAATTTTGATTTGTCAAAAAGACAGGCAGAACAAGCTTACATCAAGCACGACGCCTTGCCAAACCAGCCGGTGACAAATCTAAAGCGGAGGAGACTGACAAAGGACAGCCCTTTCGTTAAAATCAGGCCTCTTAGGTTGGCCTCAGCTAACGTCAGAAGCTTACAAAATAAAAAGAATGACTTAATTTTATTTTTATTGGATTATGATTCGGGTATTTTTTCTGTTGTTGAGACATGAGATGATTGTGACAGTTTGTTTTTACCTCACGGATACGTTTTTGTTAGAAAAGATCGTGGATCACGTGGTGGAGGCGTGGGCTTTATCATTAAAAACTCAATATCTTTCAAAGAGGTCATAAAACCAACTAAATACTCGCACATCGAAATAGTATCTATTGATATTACCATATCAACTACGCATCACCGCTTCATATCATACTATCGCCCTGGTGGTTTTGACAGGTCGGCTGATGATTATGCCACTGATAGCATACAATGCATTAGAGAGCTGTGTAGAGGTCATGTCAACTGTTTGTTAGGTGACTTCAATCTCCCACTCATCAACTGGACCAAATATTTTTCACCAAATAACTCAATTTATAATTCATTTATTCAACTTTTCAATGAACTTGGTCTGCAAAAACTGGTTGATCAGCCTACTCGAGGTCAAAATGTCCTCGACCTGGTACTTTCTGATGATTCCAGTTTGCTGGCTCAGTCCGCTTGCCTCAAGTGATCACAACATCATCACTTTTCAAATCAACTGTTTCCTCAACAACCCACCAGACGTCAACTCATTCATCAAAACGTACTCCTATGATTTTAACAGTGCTAATTATAATGATATAAATAATTATTTGTCTAATATAAATTGGAATTATCATTTTCAGCACTGTTTTAATGTCAATATGTGTTGGGACACATTCGAACAAATAATCAACCACGCAATATCGATTTTTGTTCCCAAAATTGGACGCAGTCAATCACCGTCTCAACATCAAGCTCCTAGGGCACTTCGCTTATTATACAAAACTAAACTTTATTTTTGGAGGAAATGGAGAACAAGTTCAAATCTAGTTGATAAAGAACAATATTTGAAGATTTCCTGTTACTGCTCCAACTTAGCCAATCTACACCGCAAAAATAAAGAAAACCAATTGTTGTCTAAAGCGAATGTTAAAAATTTTTATCGCTGTGTCAATAACAAACTGTTTTCTAAATCCTTGTTAATCAGCCTCCAAATTAACAATAATAATAACAACAATACAAATAGTAATATCAGCAATAATAATAATAATTTTGTTGTTGTTAATAACAGTAATAATAGTGATGGTAATAATAATGATAGTGGGAAGAATAATAATATTAATAATAAAAATAATGATAGTAATAACAGTGATAATAATAATGGTGATGTCAATATTAATAAAAATAGTAATAATAATGGTAATTATGATAATGTTAATAATGGTAATAATAATGGTAATGATAATTATATTGATGGTAACAATAATATTGATAATGGTAATGGTACTGGTAATAATAATGATAATAATAATGATAGTGGTGGTGATAATAATGATGGTGATAGTAATAATAAGACTAATAATAATGGTAATAGTAATTTTAGTAATGATAATCGTAATTGTTTTAGTAACAATAATTTATTAATAATTATTAATAAAAATAGTAATAATAATGGTAATTATGATAATGTTAATAATGGTAATAATAATGGCAATGATAATTATATTGATAGTAATAATAATATTGGTAATGGCAATGGTACTGGTAATAATTATGATAATAAAAATGATAGTGGTGGTGATAATAATGATGATGATAGTAATAATAATGCTAATAATAATGGTAATAGTAATTTTAGCAATGATAATCGTAATGGTTTTAGTAATAACAATAATAATGATAATGATAATAACAATAGTAATGATAACGGCAACAACATTAATCATAATAGTAATAATAATAATGGTAGTGATAATAGTAATGATAACAATAGTTATAATATTAATAATGATGATAGCAATAATGGTAATAATAATGGTTGCAATAATGATAACAATAATAGTGGTGATGATAATAATGGTGGTAATAATAATAATAATGGTAATGAAAATGATAATAATAGTAATAATGGTGATAAAAATAGTAATGATAATAATAATGGTAATAATAATGGCAAAAATAATGGTGAAAATAATTGTAACGATAATGATAATAATAATAGTAATAAAAATATTGATAGTAATGTTGATAGTAATGGTGATGTTCATAGTAGTAGTGGTGGTGATTATAATAGTAATTGTAATAACAATAGTAATAATAACGATGGTATTAGTAATGGTGTCTATAGTATTTATAATAATAATAATGGTATTAGTATTGACAATAATAGTAGTAAAAATATTAGTAATGTCGATGATAATAATAATAATGGTAATGATAACAATAATAATAATGATAGTAATAATGATAATAACAGAGTTGATAATAATTATAAGGTTAATAGACCAATATCACTTACCTGCTCATCTTGTCGGGTTGTGGAAAAAATAGTCAAGAACAATATAATATCTTATTTGTTAAATAACAATTTAATATCCAAATTTCAGCACGGTTTTTTGCCTGCCGGATCAATATCTACTAACCTCCTCAGATTTCTAAGCGATCTGTTATTAATTCGACAAAGAAAAGAAAGATGCGACACAATCTATCTTGACTTTCAAAAGGCCTTCGACTCAGTCTCACACACAAAGCTAATCTGGCATCGGCGGAAATTTGCTCGGATGGTTAACAGATTTTCTATATAACCGTTCACAGTTAGTCAAGATTCAAAATAAACTGTCCAGTCCAGTTGCAGTAACAAGTGGGGTACTCCAAGGCAGCGTTCTGGGACCCACCCTGTTTCTCATCTTCATCAATGATATTGAAGACTGCCTTTCATCTCAACATGTCTCTATGCTGCTCTTTGCTGATGATATCAAATTGTATGCCGGTTCATCAAATTCATTCCAACTGCAACAGGTCCTTAACGATATTATCGCATGGAGCATAAGATGGCAACTACCGCTTTCTCCTAACAAATGTTCTTTTTGCTCATTTCTACCATGTTCAAAAAATGTTACTGCCATAAATCAGTATGTGATTGATAATCACATTCTGACACCTGTCGAATATTTTAAAGATCTAGGTGTAATATTTGATGATAAACTAAGTTATAAACATCATATTAACTAACTATTAAATATCTTGCTATAGAAAGTTGCTGGGAATCAGTTGGAGACAAAAGATAAGAAACGATGCCATAAGAAAACAACTTGGAAGACAAAAAACTGTGTATGAAAGTGTCAAGGAAAGAAAGCTGGGTATCTTTGGGCACATCTGCAGAATGACAGACGACAGACTGATCAAAAAAGTACTGATGAGAAAGAGGGACTGGAAGAAAAAAGTTGGAAGACTTGTGAGGAAGTGGATGGATGAAGATGGCGAGGGAAAGAAAAGGATTTTAGAGAGATAGAAGAATACCATCGGCCTCAACGGTCCCTTAAGGGATTACAGAGGATCATTGAATGAATGAACAACATTGCGCATAGATCTTCTACCCGTGCTCGTCTTATTATTAAATGTTTTGCATCCAATGATAAAGATTTGCTCAACAAGGCTTTTTGCACTTATGTCCGTCCTCTACTGGAATATTGCTCAACTGTCTGGTGTCCTCACTATAAATATCAAATTATTAATGTCGAAAAAGTTCAAAGGAGATTCACTAAGGCCATTGCTTCAATCCACCATCTTCCGTATCTGTCTTGTTCACACTTTGTCAAAATACAAACATTGGAACATCGCCGATTGATTTTTGATTTATGTTTGTTATACAAGATACTTAACAATCTTACTGTTCAACATTTGAAAGATAATTTTGTTCCATCTCATTATTTGTCAACTCGTGGTCATGTCAAGAGACTTCGTGAATGCAACTCAAGCGGTAATATTACCAAATATTTCTTCTTCAACAGAGTAGTTCGAGTGTGGAATGCACTACCGGATGAAGTTGTCTCATCTCCAACTTATGATGTTTTTAGACGCAAACTACTCTCTGTTGACTTGAAGCGTTTTTTAACAATTGATCAATAAATTAATTTGTTGATTTTTGTTTTCATATAACAATCAATTATTGATGAAATATATTATGTATTTTGTTTAACAATGGATTTTTTTATACATTATCTGATGTTCGTATGTATTAATATTTCAAACACTACCGATCGTTTTAAAAATTACTTATTTTTCGATCTATGTATTAATGACAATGTTAGGAATAACTATGCAACTTTTTGTTTAATGTTTTTTTTGTTTTTTTTTTTGTGTTGACTTTTTTATCTGTTTGCCAATTGCCTAGCTTTATAACATTTCTTTTTTCTTCCTGATTGGGTAAGTGGTCCGTTGGGCCCTCTGCTCAGTTGTGTTAAATAAATAAATAAAAATGATGGAGATCGTTACATTCCGGTTGTAGCGGACTATTTTAGCAAGTGGTGGAAAGTGTATCCGATACCAAATCAGGAGGCTTGTACCATCGCTGAAGATATCCAACTACTGGGGAGATCATTTTTGGAAGAACCCCAGCTGATATAAAATATGGCGTACCACCTAAGACCTCACAATCAATAACAGATTAAGTGGACAATCTCAGTCAGCTGTTAAACAGTATCCACCAATACACGCGCCCGGAGTTAATAAAGAATAGTGAAACAACCAAGACCCGATACGATCAAAAGGGAAACACAGCGTTGTGTTTTTATTGAATTTGCGAGAAACGTTAGTGAATTGTTATTCGGAAAGCGATAGTTTCTGAATGATAATTCGATAGTTTGCGAACATTAACTTTTATTAGTAAAATTGATTAGCGTTGATTATTAATTATTGTTTTGTAAATAATTAAATCGGTAATTTGAAAGTTATATTGCCTTTATTTTTCACGGTGATTAAATGAACTCGTTGTCGACCGGCCAGTTATAACGGTATGTTAAAGTTACGTATGGAGAACAGAGACGAGCGCATACACGATGTATGAAAATGATGAGCTAACATAAGAGGCGCCATTTTATACATTTGGTGCCGTCTTTTTGTCGCCGATGAGCAATTTGATATCGTCCGATGCAAATTGTACATCATAGTCGGATGTATGGAGAAGTGAAGAAGGCGAAGACTTTTTATATT